AATGTCCATTACTAATTCTGGTAAGTCAGCTGATTTATATAAACTTAAAGCTAATTCTTTTTTCTTTATTTAGGTGTATATGAATATCCATTAAAATGTCAGGTAAGTCAATTGATTTATATAAACTTAAATCTAATTTCTTTTTGTTTATTTAGGTCTATATGAATGTCCATTACTAATTCTGGTAAGTCAACTGATTTATATAAACTTCAAGCTAATTCTTTTTTCTTTATTTAGGTGTATATGATTATCCATTAAGATGTCGAGTAAGTCAACCGATTTATATCAACTTTATAAATCTAGTTTTTTATGTTTATTTAGGTGTATATGAATGTCCATTGATAATTTTGGTAAGTCAACTGATTTATATAAACCTAAAGTTAATTTCTTTTTGTTTATTTAGGTGTATATGAATATCGATTACAATTTCTGGTAAGTCAATTGATTTATATTAAACTCAAATCTAATTTGTTTTTGTTTATTTAGGTCTATATGAATAACCATTAAAATGTCGGGTAAATCAGCTGATTTATATCAACTTTATAAATCTAGTTTTTTGTTTATTTAGGGTGTATGTGAATGTCCATTGATAATTTGGGTAAGTCAACTGATTTCAATAAAAGTAAATCTGATTGTTTTTTCTTCATTTAGGTCTATATGAATGTCCATGAAGAATTCTGGTACGTCAACTGATTTATATAAACTTAAAGCTGATTCTTTTTTGTTTATTTAGGTCTATGTGAATAATCACCAAAATTTCTAGGAAGTCAGCTGATTAATATAAACTTAAATCTAATTGGTTTTTGTTTATTTAGGTCTATATGAATATCGATTAGAATTTCTGGTAAGACAATTGATTTCAATAAAATTCAATCTGATCCTTTTTTCTTTATTTAGGTCTGTAATGAAATTGCATTAATATTCATGGGTGGGCTGAGAGTGTGAGGGCTTTCGTGGCTCATGTAAGGGTTATTTTAATTGACCGAAGTAAGGTATCTACTTGTTCTGGAACCTGCTCGGAAACAGTTAATGCGTTTCCGATGGTTGGTGTGTTGTGGTAGTAAAATATGCTAATGTAGGGTTTCCGAGTGCTCGGAAACCTTTTCTCGGAAACCCTTAAAAGGTTTCCGATAGTAACAAGTTCGGAAACCCACTAAGGGTTTCCTACACGACGGATTTTTCTTAGAGTGCAGGATGGTTCCTGGTCGCGCGCGCGCGAAGAGAATAGAATAGCTATGAAATCATTTTTTCATTCAATCACGATTTATTTGAAACAGAAACAGAACAAAAAAAAATAAATTTAATCATCATATTGAGTTTGATACGATATTAAATTTTTGTACTCGATGATTTCCGTAATCGACGACATAGAGATTGCCATGTCGATCAAATGATAAACCAACGGGATATTGGAGTTGATTCAACAGTCCACCAACAATGACACTTCCCTGTGTGGCTCCTTTTGGCCAACGCATGATTCGATGATTCCAAGAATCAGTCACATAGACAGTACCCAATTGATCGACAACGACTCCTTGAGGACAATTTAATTGTGAAAGACTATTTCCTTCTTCTTGACCATCGGCTACGACAATACCTTGTTTTGCACCTTCTTCCCATTTCATTACACGATCATTTCCCAAATCAGACACATAAACTGAATGATCTCGATCGACAAATACGTAGGAGGGACCAGAGAGTTGATCGAGACGACTTCCTTGTCCATTGCCACCTGCAACCAGTGTTCCTTTAGTGTCACCAATTTTATATCGTCTCACTTCATGTTTTTCATAGTCAACGACATAGAGAGAACCATTGTCGTCCATTGTCAAACCGAAGCAAGCGATATTCGAAATAATAGTTTCTCCACGAGTACCATTTCGACGAGGCCATCGAACTACTCTGTTATGCCCGCAATCGCTGATGATGAGACTATCGCTCTCTTTATCGACAATCACATCTAGTGGGTTATATAATTGACGAGATCCATTTCCACCAGCAACTACTTTTCCATTCGTTGCACCAGATTTCCATTCCACAATACGATGATTCCACTCATCAGCGACATAAATCGTTTGATCATCGTCGACGTACAAACCATATGGCTCATGGAGTTTATTGGTTTCACTGCCCCATTCATTTCCTCCAGCAACAGTGATACCATTCTGTGTCCATTTTGCATTTGGAGAAATAGCAGTGGAACTTGCACGTAGTGGTACTAAAATGAAACAAAAGTATGAAGTAAAAATAAACATCAATGTCATTGAAATGTGTTCTTCTCATTTGTTTTAAACAGTATTGAGCTGCTCTCAATTACAAAAGCTTTTTACTTATGAACTTGATTAGAATCTAGTTTTTCTCAATGTTGAAAACAAAACATTGTTGATTTTTTCAAATACTTTGTGTAAGAATCCTTAGTTTTACTAAAACTAACTAAAATTTAACTGGTAATGTAAAAAATTGCGATAAACTCGGATTCTTATCGTAAATGAAATTTTCTTTTATATCGAATTTTTCCAACATATTTACTGATTTCGTTAGTTCGAGTTTGAAATATATTTAGATTTTGCATGTCATCAATTTAAAAATCATTTCATTTTTTTTTTGTTTGGATTTTACAATAAAATGAGTTATAATAGAATTTGAACGTAAGGAAAAACAATTTTGTTATCAGTTGATAGGAAACGGTGTATGATTTATGTTCGTCACACATTTCTGAGTGAAATGAGACAAAATAAATTTGCCACTTTTATTTGAATTCGTTAAAAACATCTTGCTAGATAATAACGATAGGTAATTATACTTAACTACCATGCATAAGACGTTTTTGACTGATTCATATAAAAAAATTACAAAATTTTTGTGTAAGTATTTTTCTTTCTTATTCCATTTACGAATGTGTGACAAATATAAATCATACACTATTCGAAAGTATTTTATGTCATTAATTTTTGCATCATACTTATTATTGAGTAATTTATTCCTGAATCTCAAACAAACAAGTAGTTTGTAGAAAGGCTAATCGAAGTACTAAATAAGATAAGATTAGATAAAAAAATACGTAAGTTCAAATTTTAGTAGATAAGAAGAACTCAAAAACAAATCTTTCCCAAGTTCAAGAATATTTGAAGAATCTGTCATGTTCATTACTCTACATTATAGCACAAACAATAATCTATATACGAATCAATCAAATCTTTTATTTTGAATTCATTTCTAATGTATTACAAATTTCAACTTAATAGGGTATGGAACACGTTTTTTTAAAGAATAGTAATTTCGATCAAGGATCGATTTCGAACTTTCTAAAATCAAGTATTTTCACTTCTTTACAAGACAATACGAATCTCCTATGAAAATCTTGATCTAAAATGTTTGCAAGTTTGTGTTTTGTAGGTTATTCAATAGGTGTAAATTTTTGGGGATTCTCACAAAAAAGAAACCATCGTAAAAGATTTCATCATGATTTTAGTTATTCTCAATAGCAATAACTGTGAAGATTTCTTCTCTTCAAATTTTTATTGTATCGCATTCTGCACTGGTTAAGTCTTAGAAGAAAGTTTTTTTTGTTTGTCTAGAATTTTCTAAAGGTTGATATTGATATGAGCTTTAAACTAGAAACAATATTGCTATGATTATATCTTGAATGGACAGTTCCAGAATCGATGAAGTTAATAAAAAATGTCATGCAGTTTTATAAGCTCCCTAAAAATAATTTAAATAATTTCATCCTTTTTAATTTATCTATGAAGAATCTAGCTATAATTGAAATCTTGATTAAATTTAATACTATTTAATCAATTTTCATTTTTATTACATGTAATGTCATGTATTTTTAATATGTTTAATGTCTCAGTGCAATTGGAAGAAAGTACATTTTAGTATTATTTCTTTTCTTCCATCGACAAAAAACAAATATATGTAAAATGGTATGAGACCTTTAATTATGTGTCAAACAACTGGAAGATGAGAGTCAGAAACAAAACAATACTTTCTGCTTTTTAAATCAAAGAGATTGTGAGACAAAATTCGAGTAGATAGTTTTATTTTCTACTTATAGATGATGGCATAGAGCTTATGAAATGCTTATTAATACTATAGATTTATTTCAATTAAATCAAACTTCTCAAATATCTCTTATACACATGGAAATAATCAGTCTGACCGGCTACCTTGCTTCGTTTTTTTCCACATAAACTTTAGTCTTATTTTAGAACAACTACAGTCAACATTTTCTCTATATTTGATATTATATAAAATCCTATTCATTATTTTTCATTTTTCTATATTAATAATATAAATAACAATTAGTTTTAATTTTAATTTTGCTATGTTGGTAATATACATAACAGTTAGTTTTATTGCTTTTATTTTCTATATCAATAATACAAGAATCTTAATTCTCATGTCTTGTTTTTCTAAATTGGCCGTTTAGAAAATTTTATTTATTATTTTTGATTTTTTATATTGATAATATAGAAAATCTCAATTTTAATTTTTGATATCTCTATAACGATAATATAGAAAATCTTATTTTGAATTCTTATTGATTTTAATTGACAATATAAATATCAGTTAGTTTTAATTCTTATTTTTCTATATTATCGATATAGAAAAATACAAAATAAAAACTAAGATGTTCTATGTCAACAATATACAAAAAATAGAGAATAAAACAAATTGTTGTCTTTGTTACCAATGTAGAATAATAAGAAATAAAAAGTAAGATTTTCTATGTTATCAATATAGAAAATAAAAAATAAATAGGATTTACTATTTTATCACTACAGAAAAATGAGGAATACAAGTAACCGTTTTGTACTCTATTAATATAGAAAGGTGAAAAATAAAAATAACCGTTTTCTACACTATTAGTATAGAAAAAGAAGAAAAAAACTGACGTAAACTATTCGAGTCTTTTTCTCAGGTACTGTTCTTCATCGGAAAGCTGATGGAATCAACTATTCTCGAATAAGGGAAAGAAACAGAACAGACCATACACGATCAGATGCTAACAGGCAAGATCTACATTATGTACTGTGTATGTTTCTTTTTTTGGATCTTATATGATCTGTTAAGATCTGACAAGAAGGATCCAGTCTGTCCAAATCAGTGTCTTAATCATTGAGTCTTGTAAGATTATTTGCTGACACCGTACAATCAAAATCTGAGAACATCTTTAAAAAAATGAACATATAAGATATTGTTCGATATTGTAACAAGATCATAGAAAAAACCTTATAGGAGTAAGACCTCATTGGATCTTGCAGGATCTAACACCTGTTTTTTTCGGGGTGGGTGTGAATGTGGCTATAGATGAATCATTTACCCACCCATCATGGTAAGAATTTGAACATATAATTTCACCAATATAAAATCGGAAAATCTAACAAAAAAATTGCTTTTTCATAAAGGTCATAAAAAACAGATCAGTTGTTAATTATGAATTGATTTGGAAATTCGCCAATAACAGTAAAACTGTATTCTGACTTTAGATAGCCTATTATCCAAAAATATGCAGCACTATTTACAAAAAACCAAAAATCTCGCTTTCAATTTTGCAACTTATGTCCACATGGTTTCACACTATAGACAAGGCAAGTGAAATTGAAATATAAATACTGACATGATTGAAACAAGAAAAAAACATATCCTATTATTCGTATGACAGAAAAAATATATTTATTTACCAATGCTACTTATCTCGATAATCTTGCATTTCAAGTTTTTCAACAGTAGCCGAGAAAGTGTAAATTAAATTAAAATAGACTCATATCTATTCAATAACTTCAACGGATTGCCACCTTGACATATGTAGATTAGGTTTCGTTTTTAGATTCTTTTCTCCTAAGTTCTTAGAACTAAATAATTGATACAGTTGAGTTTATTTCAAAAAAATTATTTACGTTAATCTTGAAAAATTTTCAATATAATCATATGAAATGATCACTCGTAAAATCTGAACAAGGCTCATAGCTTCAGATTGAAGTAAAAACGAATTTAGCTTATTGAGAAAATAAACAAATGTTAATCAAAACTAAACGGGTTGCAATCAATCAATTAAAATTCAAATAAACTAATATAATTCTGTTTTTAGAAATATAACTGATTTCAATCATTATTTTTATAGAAGATTCGAAAAAAAAAATCAAATTTTCTTCAGGTGATTTGTCTCTTATTTTAATCATATTAAGGGAGCCCCCCCCTCAGAAGATCAAATTTTTCGGAGACGAGTCGAAATTGAAGTTTTATCGTAGTGTAAAACTCGGCTCCTACTGTCATATTTTTCGAGAAATTCTCAGAGGTTTTTTCCAAGCTTTTTCGATTTTGTAGGCTCCTCTCTCTTTGCATCAGCATCTCGTAAAGTTTTTTTCTATACTAATCACTAAGAGACTATGAATACTTTATATTGAGATCACATTTTTATAGCCTGTCTTGAACATGGATATATAAATCAGGTGATTTTCGGAAAAATCGATTTCTAATACTTATTTTTTCGAGCATACCATTTGCGCGGGCAGGGATTTTTCAATAACGAATCCATAAATAAGGGATAATTTTCTTTTGTTAAATAGAGGACAGTTAGGGCTAGGTCGTAATAGAGTCCGATTTTTGTTTTTCTCTTTTGCTGAAATACAAAAGTTAGATATTTCATTTTTGTTAGCAAGGTTTTTGGGTACAATTTCGTGGATTTTTGCGGAAAAGAGTTTTTAAAAATCAAACAAAGGGAAATTCAAAAATCGGGCTCTATTATGACCTAGCCCCAAGGGTGCTCTACAATCTGAAAACCGCGCGGGCTTGTTAGCTCGTATCCTTATTGTGAAATCCTTGCCTGCGTAAACATTATGAATCGACTAGAACTTGTGCATTTCTTTGAGATTTGGGGAGATATTTTAGCCATAAGCTATTCTAGTCAAGACTAACATTCTCGGAAATTTTGGTTGAAATCGGATGAAAAATAACAAAGTTGGCTTCTGAAGGGGGGCCTTAAAGTAAAAAAACATATCAAATGTTAAAACTCAAAAAATCCGAGATTCCTTCCAAATTTAAACGAATGGAAAGAAAAAAAAATGTGGATCGTTGTTACTCATTAATTTCTCTTTTTTGACTGCTGGGGATAGGTTATAATTATTTTGCAGTGTATTCGTGTTTAAATGCAGATGCATACATTTCTTTCATTAGATCATAGCATCAAACTTCGAAATATTCATTTTTTGAGTACAGTTTCAACAATGATCAATACTATGATTTTCTTCCTCAAATTTTTATTCTATTTCATCGTAGTATAAAAAATTTTTCTAGAACTTTTTTCAACGATTTATATTCATTGTGATTTTAGAATTAGACGCAGTTTTTTTTGTTGTATTCAGGTTTGAATAAGATTTCCTTCTATACATCGAATGGTTATTCTATTATCGATGTTAAAATTTAATTATTTTATTTCATCATACTATTCATTATTGCAAGTGTTTTAAAATGTTCATCTCAAAAAATCTTGTCTATTATTCTACGAAATTGTCTTCTAAATTGCTTCGTAATGTGAAATATGTATTCAATGTAGTAAATAAAAACTGTCTCTAAGTTATAGAAAGCAGTGAAACAAACAAGTTTTTTTTCTAACAGAGAGAAAGAAACAAACAAGATTAATTTCTGTATCATTGATTTTAAAGTGCTCCACAAACATACAGATCGACACAAGAATAAATACAGTCGGATTGAATAATAACCATATCCAGAAGTCTATTAATGTATAATATAATCAAAATTAAAAATTCTATTATCGACACTAATACGGGCAAAATACATTGTTTTAAAGAATTTCCGATCATCTCCAAAACAACCTGTAGTTTTTCAAAAAAATTCAAGTCTATCGGAAATATTATAGAATCACTACAAAGCGAGTATCTTATAAATTATTTTTCATTAAACTTTCATCATCAGGAAAATTTAAATGATACATTTTGATACGACCATGTTTGTTATATTTCACTCATGAATTTTTTCAGCAATCAGTTTTTTCGTCTAGCAAATAAAATTCACTTTTCTATATAATTATTTATTGTTACATAACTATCAAAATATCAATTGAAACATTTTCTTGAATGTCTAAATATACGCTGCTGACATTCCAATGGTCATTATCATGTTTTGAAGACGATTGACTTGTTTTCCCGTTTCCATTCTATGATAATTGATTTTTAATTGTCAATCGTGTATGAGGAATCGGAATAATATGTTTTTAGAGAATAAAATGAATCATAAATTGAAGAATCCGTATTGGTTTCGAAAAGTGGGTTATTTTCAACGGTTTTTCACAAAATAGATGTCTTGACATTTTTCCAAGAAAAGCTATTTCCAGAAAAATCGAAAATACGAATTCTCCAATGTCATTCAACTAAATCTATCCTACCATGCTAAAGTGGTCGGCAAATAAATGACCGCCTAAAATTCTAATTACCTGCACTTCAAACATTGCACGTTTGTTTCGAGAGCAAACGAAAAGATAGAAAAGAATCCTGTTCTATCAATAGGAAGCTGACAAATGAAAGTCACCTTAGGAAAGTTGCATATTTTTGTTTATGTTTCGCAGCTATGTGAATTAGCACTTTAATTTTAGCAAAACGGATTCGGATCTACTAGATAAAATTTCATCTAAAAGATACTACGCTTCGTGAACTCGAACGGAAAAAAATTCTCTGATTTGATCCTCTCGGAAGGTGGAGTAAAACACTACTTTACCGGGTGACAGATTTTTTGTCAAGAAGATTTTCTCCGTAAGACAGGTTTGACGATATGGTATTTGATAACCACCTGTTGCATCTCGAACGTCGCGGGTAACTTTCATGAGCAATGACTCAATATCTTCGTCAGGCGTTGCGATATGTTTTAATAACTTCTCAGTAAAGATACTATTTTGGCCATTTTGCGTTTCATCAAGTGCTCCTTGACCAATACCACAAGAAAAGACAAGTAGAGTTTCCGGTGGTGCACTCATCGGTGATAAACCTAGCATAAAATTGGTTTTTATTTTCTTAGTTCTGCAGCAATCTAATATAAATATTATAACACGAGGTTGCTTCATCGTTATTCTGTGCAAGATATTTTGAGCGTTGACAGAATTTTGGGCTAGGTATGTCTTCTCATCAATGCTATGATCATAATTATAATCAGAAGATATCAAATAATTTTTGTCGTCTGATTGCAATCCATGACCAGCAAAATAGAATAAAATTATATCTTGTTTCTCAATCTTTCCAACGAATTTATTTATCGCCTGTTGAAATTCGTTATATGTGCAATTGTTCCCTTGTGATAGAGGTCGTTGATAAACTACGTATCTATGTTTTTGACAATTTCGGACTTCCCTCCACCATCTGGTCATGCATAGCCATCGGCTTACATCTTCTCCTCATGTCATTGTTAGAGTAGGGTGGAAAATATCACCAAGCAGCGTATTCACTACTCAAATGATCATGGTTTTAAACAATGAAATGTCACGCCAAAGAGACTCTACAGGTTAACTTCGTAATAATGGGGATACTGTGTCTCAATATCCTTAACATTTTTCATTTCTGTTTCGAAAATATCATGGCTCTTATCATACTAATGAGACAACACGTCAATATATAGCAGACGAGAACAACAAGTGAGTGAACAACACCGTAGTCAGGCGCAGACCCATTCCCTCATGTCTTTGTAGTTTTGTGAACGACCGTATACATCAAAACCGATACGACAGAGTGTGTTGCTTAAGCATGTGGCATCGGTTATACATGTCTGTAATACAGGTGTTCTACCAATGTATTTATTAATACCAATTACCAATGCTTTCTTATACGAACAACTAGTCGACGAAGCCATTAAATCTAAAAGCCAAGAAAACAGACTTTTATTTTTGCTTTGTGTCTCTTTTTTTGTCTTATGAGTATGATTGAATGTGCATGTGGTGCTGGTGTAAGCGCGCGCACGTGAGTGGGTGATTGTGGTGTAAAAGTGGATGCGTGGGCTTTCTTTTTATCCACACTCACAATCACAATAATAGCCGACACCCGATATCAATAGATATCCAGGTAAGAAAAACGTTAAAAGATAAGATTAAAACCAATTATTTTTTTATTAAAAGTCGATTAGGATATGAGGTGAAAGTTTGGATGTGAGTGTGGGCGTGGGCGTGGGTTTCCGCAGGATATTATATCCATCCATACTCGCACG